CTATGAATTAATGAACATTGCCTAACTTAATAAATTAGACCATATGTCATGTGATCAACATGTGGAGACGCCTCACAGTATTTCTCATTTAAATTAAACAGAATTTTAGTATTATTCTTACTTGAGTTTTCTATGTGCAGTGTCATCATGTTTGTACCTGTCTTGGAAGTGCACACTGGTAATTCTGTCATCACTATCATGGATTAAAATACACATAATGTATATGCTCCTTTTTAGACCCAGTATCACAAATTTTTAGTTAGCTTTCTATAGTAGGATATTCCAATTTTACGTCTATTAGCTTAGCCTAAAGAACTTTTTGTGAAGTAGGCCTCATGCAGCTGGACACCATTGTGGACCTATGGCTTACAAGTCAACTGTCAATATCACCATAAATGTGGTTGGTCTGTACTTGTAGCAACTTAAACCCTGAGCATCAATCAGAGATGCTGACATTATGGCAATCAAGGTCCTTAATTTTGTTATTTTTCATGTTATTTACAAAAGACTTACGTTTAATGTGTGAAAAAATTTGGAAGAATACAGGTCATTTTAATGCTTACAAGTTGGCATCATATTTCTCACCTGGGTTTTCTGTGTGGGACCTTTTAAAGTTCAGCCACGATGAGGTGTCTTGTTCCTTAATGCACCCGTTCAATCACATCCAAAGTCAGTTGTCAATTTGCTGCAGTTAATCCCCCCATTTATAATTACAGGTGTTATATAATTGACAACAACTTCACCGAGTCCAATTCTCACCTGAGTTTTTTAGTGCGTGTGCTGCGGCATCGCAGAGTACAACAGGCAGCGTTCTCCTTGGTTAGTTACCTCTTGATACATATCAACAACGCCTTCCGCCTGATTTAGTACTCCTAAACTAATTTCAATTGTAAATGTAACAGGTGTCGAATTAACTGTAAAAGTGTCATTTAAACAGTGTCAGGGCTTGTTTATTTACAGTAGGAACCCTCGTATTGGTAACTCATGTGGTGCACATGTTTATCCATGGTTGGGGCCCTGTGTTTTATCAATACAAGGGCCCTGTGTGGATATGCAATGTTATGTGAGCTATGGAGATTTCTTACCTGGACGCTTCTATTGAAATTAACACAGTGTGTTGAATAAAGATCTTTAATTGTAAAGAAAGAGGGTCAGTTAAGGGGGGAGGGGGGTTTGGGTTTAGCTTAATCCCACTTCTGTGTTACTATGAAGACTTAAATGCGCTTGAAATGTAAACAATACATGTTAATTGCTGCAAGATTTAATTGATTCGGTTTGGCGAAGGTTATGACTGGCATTGGCTCTCGTCTGGAACTGTATTATCTTGTTATGTCACCAAGAGTACCATGGGAAAGTTGCTCCGTCTATCAGCTCTCGTTCTCGGCTAAGCCAATATGGTGTTCTTTGTTTTCTATTGTGTTGAACTTTTTATACTTCTTTGCTCATTTTATTTATTTTGAGAAAAGTAAAGTTGAATGTTGTTTTTCTATACTGTTTTGTGTGTCATTGGGTCATTTCATGCACTGTTTAGTCATGTTTGCATTAAGAGGACCCCTGGGGGAGTTGACTTTTGCTTGAAGTTGGTCACTTCGACAGTCCCATGATTTGAAAACTCCAATTTTCCCTGGGAGCCAAGATTTAAGAAGTTCAATCTTTTTGCTAAATTTTGCAATTTAGTTCCGTATCCAGTGAGAAATTTAAAAAAACTTGGAAGGACTGGGGAAAGTTGTTTGACAAGTTCAACTTGGTTTGGCCATAGTAATTTGATTTTATCAGGCTTATAGAACCTTTAATGTTAAATCTGCATTTAGATTTGAAATCTAAGGAGGTATAGATTAGGTAGAGGGGAGAGAATAGTTTGGCAAAGAGAACTCTTTTTGCCCACAGTACTTGGCATGAAATAATAAAACCATTTGAATAAAGTGTCAAAAATAATTATACAGCATTGACATTTTTTGGTTTAATAATTTTTGCATTTTAAAAGATTAATTAAGAATAACATTTGGGTTGTGAGAAGTTTTAAAGGTTTTAGGTGTAAAAGTCAATTGCTTGTTAATTAATGTTTGAATTTTAATAAACATTGCTTAAATGAAATTAATGAGTCATGTTTAAATTTGGATGTGATTACCTTTAACATTTAACATAAAAAAGAAATATGTATTTTTCACTCAGTATAACGGCACATCTGATCATATATGTCTATTTTGTGACTTACCAGAAATCGGTATAATCTTCAGCATTAGTTTGATTCATATATTTTAGCACTCACCATTAACAAAACCCATGGTGAAATCCTTAAATTTCTTTTAAAAATTTGTTTTTGAAAAAATATTTTCATACAAGAGTGAAAGGAATAATTCTACATTGTCTATAAATTACATCTTTTAGATTTCTGCCTAACTTCCTCATTAAATTGATAAAAGTACTTTACTATGTTAGGCCTGAGATATTTGAAAGGCTCTGTCAATATACATATAAATAATGGCTTCACTGTAGATTATAAATGGCCTCCTTCATTTAAAATCTCTGCATTGCTACCTTTATTTACACTTGATAACAAACCCAGATTTCTAAAGAGAGTAAATGACATTCTAAACTCCAGGCTATTGATGTCTATCTGTGACCTTTACACTGAAAACTGCTTATATAATTGAATGATGGATTTTCGCTGAGGAGTGCTACTAAAAAGACCCATGAAGACAGACACGATTTTTTAAACCAGCTGATCCAGTGAATATATCAGGGCTTTAAACATTTTTATCTTTACATTTACCTGCATATTCTTCCTTGAGCTTTACCTGTTGCTTCACAAATAATGTGCATCTAATCAATCTCCATCTGTGGTAAGTCAAGATTAAACTTCATACATCCAGATGAAAAATTTGAAACCATCGGTGATAAATATCATGATGAGAATCAGTACATGTAGAATGACTATAACTTCTTCTTTGCCAAAATAAAAGCATGACAATTTGTTTAACATTTGGCTGAAATCTGATATCCTGATGTGAGACTCCTCTGTATCATGTGGATATCAGTGGCATATTATCTCTATTGTTGTCTCAGACTGATATCACTGTTATATATGTCCATATGCTTTCTTAGGCCCCTTTTAATTCAAGATGTACAGTTTACAGCTTGATATCAGTCAGTATCAATATTATATTAGCTTTCATTGACAGTGTCATGCTGTTGACCCAGACTAACCCTGTCTGACTAATGATCTCTTAGATCGCATTCACAACAAGTTGAGCCAGGCTTTACAAATCCTGGGGACTAAATATGGCGGACGTACATGAAAGAAAAAACCACTTAATCTTTTAATAGACTCTCCGCCTCTCACACGCCTCCCCATGCGTCGTCCCTGCGGGGGGGGACAGTCATTAAATCTTGGCTCCATTGGGACGACACATGGGGAGGCGTGTGAGAGGCGGAGAGACTATTAAAAGATTAGGCGGTTTTTCTTTCATATACGTCCGCCATATTTAGTCCCCAGGATTTGTAAAGCCATGGCTCAACTCGTTGTGAATGCGGTCATAATCTTCTTTCATGTAGGGGAGCATTCAGAACAATTTGATATGAACACTGACAGATCTCATGAAAGCTTGCTGCATAACCCCCTAATAGACACTGAATGGATTCCCTGCAGGGATTACAGGCCAGTAGCCAGCAATTTCAAAATGGGGGTTCGTTTTCTGAAAAAGTGGACCTTTTTCTCCATAAAAACATCATGTACCTACATCAAATTTTACCCAGAGTGGACCTTTTCTCAGCAAAAGGAGCAGTTCTTTCTAACCCCCCGAACCCCACCTGGCTACGGGCCTGGATTATGCTGTAAGCATTCAAGTGGGTCGGCCATACTTGATCCAGGGATCTGTAAGTCCTCGGATCAACTTTGGTTGTGAATGGAGCCTAGGACTGGCTCCAGAAAGAACTTCAGTTGACACTGGGTTTTAGCTTTAGGACTGAATTTTTTTCTCTTAAATAATTTAAGTCTAATGATTTTGGTTCACTTTACTATATGATAACCCTATGATGGTCCACTAAAATACATATTCTGTCAGTGTGTGGTAAATGTTTTGTTCTTTTCTCTAAATTTATACACCATGCACTGATGAAAATTAATACAACTTAAATAGTGAGAGACAGAGTGCACTAATACACTTTTTAAATAAATTAAGAGAATTAATTTCACACTTACTGTGAAAGATGCTATACGTTATTTAAAGTAATTGGACTGCAGCTGCTTTATCCTTGAAAAAAGTTGGAACAAAAATTTTTGATCTTTAAATTCAGACTAACTTTGGACCTTCAGTTTTGTTGTGGCACTAGGTTCTGTGTAATCCAGCACACCTGTGTTGTGAGTCAAAACTGTTTGATGCATGAGAAGATTGAGTGCATTGATTATAATATTTTTTTAAAGCTAACCCAGCTTCTAATCCTTTGTATAAATAAAGGTGAATTGGATGTGTATGTAAGGTGTGACTGAAAAAAAAAGCTTATTTTTTAGCAGCATTGTGGTGTTTCTTTTGGTTTTGTTTTTTTTTTTTTTTTGAAAATGTTTTATTTTATAATTCTCAGTTTTTTTTTTAGCAAGTAGCATGATCTTAAAAGTGTTGAATCACTAGTCGTAAAGTAAACTATTTTATGTATGTTAAGTTGCTATGGAAACAACAAACAAGAAGGTAAACTCACCCTATCGGTACAAAGGATTTTCTACTTTTGAATGACTCAAAGGTTTTATAAATTGTAATTTGAGAATTGATCTACTGAAATAACATACCTTTGACAATAAGGAAATTTTACTGATCAGACAATTTTCTGCCATGTAATACCCTGAAGGGATTAATTTTCTGCTGCTTGATGTAAATCCTTTTCTCGTTTGCCCTCGCCAACCTTCTTTGTGAATTGTTGGAGTCTAAAAATAAATCTTGATAGGTCTAGAATAATTGTTAAGATGGATTTTTCTCTACCTTAGTTTCTTTTTTAGAAAAACATGAATGGGAAGGGGTAGAGAAGCATAGTGGCATTTTTTCTAGTTAAAATAAAGTGTGCTACTAAGATGCCCCTGAACTATATACCATCATTGATCAGTGTTGAAAATATGCTATTGAAAAACAGGATAATAATCTAATCATTTTAACAGAAAACCCCATATTATCTAATATTTTCCAGTAAAAGAAGGAAAAAGATCAGTTGTCAATTATCAAAAGAAAATAACAGTTCAGATTGTGATTAATCAGCCATCAATATTTCCGAATAATCGAGTCTTTTCATTTTTCAGTTAAAGAAGGTATAAAAATCAACCAGCAGCTATCAGAAACTAACACCAATCTCAGAGAGGAACTGGGTAGTAAGGAGGTAGTCATTGATGGACTGCGCCAAGAACTGGTGGAGACCAAGGCCAGTCTGTCCTCCCAGCCGCAGGATGTGGTAGAGAAGATGAGCAGATTGCAACACAGTGTAGACAGCCTTGAGAAGGAGTTGAAGTCGGTGAGTTGTGAGTCTTAAGCTGATGCACACTGATGCATGCATGTGCATGCGCACATATTTATAGACACATGCAAGCTCATGGACACAAAAGCTAAATGCTTTATAAATTTCCTTATAGTCTGCGCATCTGTGCACTATAATTCCATATTATATAGGAAAATAGAACTATATGTGCAACAAAAAAAAAATGAAATGGAAAGTAGCTAGTGAGATTCGTTATGTGTTAGAGGAGAAAATATGTTACAACAGAACACAATCAGTAAACTGTTATCAGCCTGGACTAGCCATTGTATGGTGTAAAATATATTTGGTCTTAGCTCAGCTTTTCTGGTTTAAAAAGTGTTTAATTTGACAATTGCAGCAAGAAGACATGGTTAAAGGCTTGAGAGAGCAGCTGGCAGAAACAGTGACTGAGAAAAATGTAAGTTTTGTCATTTAACTGTGGCATTGGAAAGTAATAGACTGCTTCTTTTAGAAATTGGGAATTTACAAGTGGGGAACCAAACAAAACAGAGGGTGTTTTTATAAATAAGAATTTTCATTTTATTTTTTATCAAACTGTTGAGGATTTTTTCATTATTATTATTATTATTATTATTATTATTATTATTATTATTATTATTATTATTATTATTATTATTATTATTATTATTATTATTATATGTAGTATGCCTTCTATTTCACAATGAAAATTTTATGAATATATTAAAAGTAAATGTTAAAATTTCATTTGATGTTATAAAATATTCTTCATCATCCTCTACTCTCTGCCCCATAAAATTATATTCATTTAAATACTTAATTACCCCCTCCTCCAGACCTTGACCTCTAGCCTAAACGAGGCTCACCTCCTAGTGGACAGACACGTCCAGTCCAACACCAGCCTGACCACCCAGCTGACCACCGCCCAGGCTGACCTAGAGGCCCTGAGGACACAGAATGACCAGCTGAAGGTGGACAGTGAGGCCGTGGCCGGGCAGATGAAGGAACAGGAGGTGCTTCATCAGGAGGAGAAGGAGGCATGGAAAAAAGAGGTGGATTTGCTTTTGACTTTTGGTTGGATTTTTTGAAAAGTTTTGTTTGTTTGATGGATTTGAGTTTGTTTATTAATTGATTTGGTTGATATACGAGGAGGGTGAACTCCCAAACTGAAAGAATGTTAGTGATTAGGTACTTGTTGGTGAGTTTTGGCACATTTGTCTCTTTATATACAGTACTGGTACCCTCAAAATTATATGTGAATATAGTAACAAATGTGGCATTAACCCAAATATTATGAAAAATTATGAAAAATTCAATAAAATAAGTATGATTATGATCTTGGAAGACAAAATTTATCTTAATTTATCAAACTGCTCAGAATCTTTCTAAGACGTTCAAATTTTACAGGAGAATTTCTTGAATTATCAAAATATCAGGATTTTGTAAGAAAAAAATGATGTTAGAAGATAGATTTTAGCTTTTTTATTTAAATTTATGAAAAACTATCAGACTAAGCCATCCATATTTTACAGGAGACTTCCCTGCAGGACCGTCTGAGTAGTCTTCAGAAGGACTATGAGGTCCTGAGTAAGGCACATGGTAGTCTGGAGGAACTGAACACCATGTGGGCGGGGAGGAATGTGGACCTGACTGAGGAAGTGGAGAGACTGAAGGTACCAGTGTTTTTTTTTGTTTTTTTTTTTAATTAAATGCATATGTATATATGGATTTCTTCTGCCTATTCCTCAGCAAGGAGTTGTAAAGATTGGTGGTCCATTTACCAGTGGCATGTTTGTATTTGTGTAATATTTTCTGCTACTTTTTTTAATCCGGTTTAATCCTTATATAAAGTGTATATATTATTCTGTTTTTCCTAGGATTATCACACATGAAAGCATTTGCACACTAGCAAGCACACAGATTTCCTCATGTGCATAACATTTTTATAGTGTACACCTATAGCTGACATAATCCTTATTATGAATTTCAGGAAGTCCTGAATAAACCAAAGACTGACCAAGACCAGCAAACTGACCCCAAGGAGCAGTGCACAGTGGACGTCCAAACTAAGGTCATAGGTCACCACACAGTGGACACCCAGACAGAAGGTGACTATAGTGGAGTGGACACCAGAGCTGTGTACTGCCAGACAGTTGGAGAAGAGTTGTATTCCATTGCTAAAACACCTGTGTGTAGTTGTAAGTGTTAATTGTACTTATTTCAGTTGAATCACATACTGCATGGGCACTCACATACAGATGGTATGAGCTCAGATGTTTGCCTATAGCCCATGGAATTTATCAGGAAATTGTGCTTATTGTTGACAATAAGTGATGATAAGTACATTTCTCAGAAAAAGTCTGTTTAATATGGACAAGTTGTACTTGAGTGTCCAATATGAAATTCAATTTTCATTCTTTATTTTAATTATTAGATGCCAAATGTACTCAAATGACGGCATGGTGGCTAACGTTGCTTAAAAAGATGAATGGGTTTACTTTTTGTATTATTATAGTATATATATATATATATATATATATATATATATATATATATATATATATATATATATATATATATGCTTCCATACTAAATTTTTCATGTGCTTATTCATGCTTAACTCTTTTTTTAATAACCGTTTGTTTGATATTTGTTTAAGATATTTTTGTTAACTTGTTATTTGAGAAAAGCGCATGTATGATAAACATTTACCTTTTTACTTTGAAATTCATATTGTTCAAACCTATTTGCTATTGTTTTTGTTTTTACAGATTCATTTCAAGCTAACATTTTTCTTTTGTTAGAATTTCACCAAATAGCATGGTAAGGATTTCTTAAACCTCAATGTTGAATATTATCAACTTATATTGGCTTTATAGTTCCTTTTACTTTTGCCACAAATAAACCTGAACAATACAACAATGCCTTACAGTGTGGAGTTGATATTTTTAAATGAATAGAACATGTTACTTATCATTTTCATGGCTTTGACATAAAAAAATGATCTTATGTAAACACATGAAATTGTCCATTTAATATACAATACACTGCATAATTTGAAAGTGTCACCCTTAATTTCAGCCTTATCAGGAAAGCCTGGCATATGTGGAGTAAGGGAGATGGGTCCTGGTGGAGATTCTGCAACAGTTTATCTGTCCACAGACCACAGTACTGCACCAAAGTCTTCTGGCCAAGTATCTAGCAAGGAGAAGCCTTTTGAACAACACTGCCAGAACCAGAAAGATGGTGATACAAAAGAAGGAGACAGAGAGATAGAAAAGAATGGGGAAGCTGATGGATTGTTGTTGAATACAGATCTTTTTGAAATGAAAGATGCAAAAAAATTGGAAAAGGCATTGCCAGTTCCTTATGGAGAAAATGTGGATCAGAAGAAGTCTTTGATGGAAAACCTTGATTTTAATCCAACAGTGTCATGTGCTGAGCTGCCACCACAGTCAAATGGTCCATGCAATGGGGATGACTGCACTCTGCATGACAGACACATGGAAGAACATGACATGTCCAAGTCAGCGCCATCTTACTCTACCCAGTCAGAACCTTCAACCATGATTGGTGCTCATGCAGATCTGCCCAACTTCAAACACATTGTCACTGTGGATAAGGAAAACCAGCCAAATCTGAGAGGAGAACTTACTAGTCTGAGAGACAGTCCGTCAAATGTGAGAGAAAACCAGTCAAGCCAAAGAGAAAATCCATCAAATCTTAGAGATGATGAAACCATCCCTGCAGAAACAAGCCATACCATTGGCCACCCTGGCAGCCAACCAGTGCCATCCTCACAAGATGTTGTCTGCATCCCACAAAATCAGATATGTGAGGAAGAAAAAGCATGTCCGAGCTCTCTAGGAGATATCCAGTTTGCTGAGGGGATGCCAATTCAGCAGCAAGAAACACCTAAGGGGATGCCTATTCACCAACAGGGAGGCCATGAGGGTATGCCCCTTGGATCCAAAGGAGATCAAGCTTTGGTATCCTCTTGTTCTGAAGAAGTTCAGGTGCCTAGATATGAACCAATCCAGTCCTCTTCCAAGGAAACACCAAAAGGACCAACTCTTTCCAAAAGACAACCCAGCCCACAGGCGCCATCTATTCCTGAGTTGCCATCTGTTTCCCAATCCTTTGGTAATTCTAAGCAGTCAATTATCCATCAGCTATCATTTTCTCAAAAGCTGGCTCTTTCTCAGAAAACCTCAAAAAGTCAGACCAAATGTACAGCCAGTTGGTCATCTCCCCATAGTTCTCAAACTCTCAGTCAAGATGATGAACAATCTGCCCAGAATGAAAAAGTAGAGATGAGTCCGTACAGCAGATATATGAAGGCACTGAAGACGCTTGGAATAACCACAGATAGCACCCCAGAGGTCAGTGGCTGTGACCAAATGTCCAGAGTGATGACTGATGGTGATCAAGCTGTTCAAAGAATAAAGAACAGCATTCCAGCTGTTAGATCCAAGGCAAAGAGTTCTTCTGCAAGAGGTAGTACAATGTCCACTTGTTAATAAAATGATTGATAAATATCTTATTTGGGTTCAGAAATTATCCATTCTAGTATTTCTACAAAGAAACTAGAGGAGTGACATTTGGTCTTTGGTTAATAATTACGTAATTTTAAGTTATGTTCTTGGGGGCAGACTCACCTGGTGCATGGGCAAATTTGACATCTAAGTGCTGCACATTGATTAAGATAATATTTATAAAGTTTGTTAACTTTTTAGATTCTTTATTCAATTTATTTATTTATTTATTTATTTATTTATTTATATTTTGCAGAGCCTGGCCCTCAGTCAAAGAGGCAATGTATGCAGTTGAGATCGCCAATTATTTCCCATGAATCTTCCATGGTACCCATAATGCCTTTGCCTGCTAATTTGATATCAAACCAATCAGAGCAGGTACGAATAAAGCAATAATATTTACCAGTTATAATGTTCAATTAATAATGTCACTATCATACTATCATTTTATGAAAGTTGCAAGTACATGTATGACATTTTAATATTTGAAAATAATTTAATAATTTAAGCTTTATATATTCAGTCAGTGGCTCTCCCTGTTAGCAGAGGACATAATGGTTTACCTGGATCTCAACCTGTTGTGCAGGGAATATTGCAAAGTAAGATTTTTGTGTGTTTGTGTGTGTGTGTGTGTGTGTATGTGTGTGGTTATTTGACCCAAGAATGTGCATGTGCAAAACTGAATTTTATGGTTATATCAATATGCAACGGAAATTATTTCATACTTGTTGGTTCTCCTCAGCCCAAATAATGGGGAATAGCTTTAACCTTCAAATTTTTGTCAAAACTCAAAAGTTTAAAGTAATTTGCTTTAAAAATGCACTGAATTTGAAAGTTTTATCGTTTTCATATAATCAGCCCATCAGCTAATTGATGGATTGATAGGTTGGCAATACACTCATGATCTCTTCAACTTTAGTCACTATAAGTTTTCATTCACTGGCCTGTTCTAGATGCCAGTCAGCCAAAGAGAAAAGTTCCAAAGAAAGTAACGTTTGCCAGTGCTTTGGGATTCAGTGAGGTGTCCCAGGAAGATTCAGGACAGGTAAATATACAGTTTTAACTGTTAAAACACATGTAACTCGTTATATGTATCTCAAGTTATTGTTTATCTATAGAACAGATTTATCTTTAGCTGGAATTAATATAAACATCGTCTAACTCAAATCAACTTAAAATTTCCAGTCCGAAAATGTGGCCTTTGATTGAAGATTATTGTGCCAATCACAAATGTTAGAATTTATGGAAACACAAAATCAGTATGATTGGATGAGTTTTTGAGATTGATGTGGTAAACCTAAATCCCATTTGGCACTTAATATCAGTGTCCATGCACAAGGGATTTGAAATGAAAAAACCTGGCACACGTCATGCTGTATACAAAATTTAACTGATGTAAAAGAATGTTAGGGTAGGATGATTGAAATTGCTTTTGAATTCAGATTTTATAAAGTTTTATTTCTAATTTTACAGACATCCCCCACCTCAGAAAACCTTGATGTTGGAGAAAGTTCTCTATTCTCAGATGATGAGGAAAGTATAGAGCTAGGAAGTCAGATTGAGAGAATAGAACAATTCCTCAAGACTGATAGACTAAGAGTCGGAAGGAAGAGGAGAACAGATAATTGATACCAACATCTATTAATAATATCAAAAGCATTAAAATGCATCCACACAATTAGGAAATAAGAGGAAAATGTGGTTGGTTTATCGATATTAGCATTTAACAGTTGACTCTGAACAACTCGTTACCTGTTAACTTGAAATATTGTCCATCTGGATTGAATCTTGTGGAACAGATTTTTATATTAAATGACACAAAAGCATTTCCTTACAAGTTTTATAATTCAGTTGTATACTCAATCTTGTTACTTTGACATGATGTTTTCCAATATTTTTTATAAATGTGTTGCATAGTTGACTGTTGTATGGATATTGGTATGTTTATCAAAGTTTTTAAGTGGTAATGCAGTTAACTTTTTTTATAATAAGCTTGAAATGTTTTCCTGCAGTGTCCAAAGAAAAAAAATTATTTGAAATTTTATTAAAATGGCTACCAATTTACTGAAAGATTTTGCAAATAAAGTTTGTAGCAAGTCCAGTTTTTTAAACATATTTCATATTTATTTAATACATATCATCATTAACAATTTTTGAATTACATAAGGACAAATCTGTAGGCAATGATTATTACAGTATCTTCACCTCAATTATAATCATGCCCTTCACTAAATATACTGATCTTGATATCTGTGACAAATATTTGCTGGAGCTGATATCTTATTATCAACCCTACTGGAAAAGATTTCTTTAATATAATATCAATAGCACCTCTAATTTTTCCACTGAATGAAAAAAAAAACTTAAACAATATTCATCTGTGCATGCCTGGAGTCCCATATCAAAACATCAGCATCAATATTTGATTTGTCTGGCAGTTAAAACCCCACAAATATTCCATCTGTGACATCGTGTATGTTATTATGACATCATATCTCATTATGACATCACAATAGGTATTCCAACATGCCCTCTATGATATCATACCTGCAACTGTGACATCAACCATGACCACAGTAACATCATCTCAGTCTCTTGGTCTGTTAAATTAACTCATAAAATTTTGTTGCTTTCTTGTTCTCAAGAGCCATTTAAGCATTTCAACTCAATCTTAATGGCTCTTAGTCTCATGATATATGAAAGACCTTAATGGTTTCTCCAACAAATATTTTCCAAAGCTGACTGATAATAGTTGTAAGTTCAAGCCAGCCTATTAGTCAATAGTCCCCTTGAGTCTTCTAAGAGAGACTCTATCCTATGTCTTTGTAGTTTATCTAGTCTGTCCCCTTTATCTTTTCTCTCAGCACTGGAAGGCACGAGGGCTTGTAATCTCACTGCTTTAATGGCCGTAGGCTGACATGAGATCAGGTGGTTGATTTCTTGGGCCTGGAAGAATTAAAAACAGCATATTGCAATTTAATACTTATAGAGATTGACTGATAGTCTAGCATTTTCATTCACAGAGAGTATAGATAGTAAACGTAATATTTTCATTTACAGAGAGATGAAGTGTAGCATTGGCTTGATAACTGTTTTATGCAGTTAGTATCAACTGATGACTTGTATGTTTGCTTGATTTCATAAACCAGTACATTGGCATTGAAAATTTGGAATTTATGTATATATATGTCATATACTTCCTGTCTACTGAGTTTTAAATCTGTCCGAAAGAAAAATTTAAAGGTAACTTACCCTGTTGGCTGAATATCTTAGCCTCATTATCCTCAGTCTGTTTCTTGCTTCTGCAGCTCTAGAAAAATAGCAAAAATAGGAGCTTATGTACAGCAAAGATAAGGTTATCTATATAATATTTCCTCTTTTTTCTTGGTAAACAAATTACTTTTTTAAAGTCAGAAATGAAAAATTTTAGCTCTTACCTTGAAAGTGTCCCTATTCAATTTTTAAATGCACAACTTTTTACTTCTTTATCTAAATCAAATCAAAACAAAAATACAATTCAATAAAAAAAATGTTAAATACATAAGCATCTGCACTCACTTCAATTGTCCTATTAACTTGGCGTGTTTGTCTTTTTCAATGATGACTTCTTCTGGTACAGGAGGATGATTCCTGTAAAAAGAAAACGTATTTAAAAAGATGAAAGAAATGCAATTTGCTCTCCATGATGAAACTAATGACCCACCAGTTTTCCATTCTCTTTTTTTTTTTTTCTTTTTTTTTTTCATTTATTATTTTATTTTGCACGAACATTGACTGTAATGATAAAATTTTAGGTTTATAATGCAAAATAGTTACATTTACGTAGCATAAAATACATAACATTATTCACTTAACATTTTAAATCAGTAAACTGACAACATTAACAATGAAAAAAATTAGAAATATTTACATTTCATAATCTTTCTTCAAATCCTTGAGTCGCTTTAGAGTCTTTTCTCTTACTGCAAGGATGTCTTTAGAAGGCTCTTCATACTAAAAGAAAAAGGAAATACTGCATTATTAATTTAATATAACAGTATCAAATCAATACAATTAGAATGTTTAATAGTTCTAAATAAAAGCTATCAGTATATGTAACAACTCATCCTTGTAACTTCACTGGCATGAATTGGGCACATAGCACTTACAATATTTAATTGAACATTTTCAACAGTTCACCATGACTTATTAGTGTTGGTGTGACATCATAATAGCATGTGTGATGTCATAAAAGTATATTAAACAATACATTATGATGTTATAATGGGACAAGCCATCACAATGTGTATGTATGATGTCATAAGGGGTATACTGGACTACCTACTATGATGTCATAATGATATGCAATGTCACAATGAGACAAATGATGTCATAAAGATTAATGTTATTTTTAAGATTTAATTTATCAACTACAGATCTAGACTATTTCACATGTAGCCCATCAAAAAAAGAATTATAAAAAATAACCTCATACATGTTTCTTTCTTTATCTAATTGTTGGCAAAAAACAAAAAACGTCTTTAAATCAAGAATAGAAAAATATTCAATTTTTAGCATAGATTTATTTTTGATTGAAACTTATTTTTATGTCAAGGGATATGTATCACCAGGAGGTCCAATAACTCATGGCAGGTAGGGTAAAAAAAGGAGGACATTTTTATCTGGTGGAGGCACACATTACATCTTCCTTTTTTACAACAGTGCAAGGATTTCTATAAGTATCAATCTACAAATTCTAGTAATTCTGCATCAACTTACAGCCATGTATCTGCTTTTGGCCATTGGGCCCAGTTTGTTCAGTTCCTTTTCATGTTTTTTAAATGTAGTCCAGTTTCTAGGAACAAACTTTTCTTTAGGTTCTGCCAAGGGTCCGTCATCCTCCTCTCCACTCTTCTTCTTCACTGAAGGCAGTTTTTCTCTGGGGCTCTGAACAAAGTGAGAGTAAGTATTTAAATCAGACCCACAATGACACTAAAGCCACATGCAAGCTTTTTCTAGAATGATGTAAGTAGAAAGTAGAATGCACCCAACAGTGTACTTTTTAGTTATACTGTATTCTGCCAGTTCTAGCACTTCTAATTGTTCTATAAATGTTGTTTACGGTTTTACATTAAGTACAGTACAATATTAAATAAATAAAAAAGAGTGAGTCAATGTGCTACATTAGAGCACGATTAATCACATTTGTTCAGTTTCAGAATTAAACTATGTAAATATTAAAGACAAAGAAAGAAGTTTTAACCATAATAGTCAATAGATTTGAAATCATCCTAGTTTGTAATCATTCAGGAGACAGCAAGCATAAACCCAAAAAATTGAACTGACAACTGACTGCACAGTTTAAAAAATAAAGAAGGAAAGATACGGTAAAATACTTACTGTCATGTCTGTCTGTTCGACTGATCCACTAAAACGATGTGACGTTATTTCGAAGGACTTTTTCTTCAAATCCTGTACATAATTAAAACCTGTAAGCCGTTGATCTACTCTTGGGTACCTATTGAGTCCCACGACCAGTGTTTTACACCTGACTTGACAAAAACTGCGGCAAAATGGCACCAAATTTAGCTGGACGAAAACAATACCCCTTATCCAATATGGTAGTTGTTTGGTTTCTAAGCCAAACAAAGACCGCGTGATTTTACGAGATCTTACAAGAGGAGATATGAGTCAAATTGTGTAGATTTTAAATAACTTGCACAGCGCATAAATATTTCCTTTATTTGTTGTTGTTGCTACATAAATTTGATTCTTTTGAATAAAATATCCAGAAAGGTTTCAAAAATATTTCACATCGATCCAAGAATAGCTTCCTAGAATCCTAAAGCTTGTCTTTCCCTTGTCTCCCTCTATCGACAACTTGGACGAAAGTAAATTAAGTCAGTGAGGTAAGACGTGTTTTACTCTTGTTTAATTTATTATATGACCGATAATTGGATGTTTGCAACATTAAAAAGTAGGCCAATAGTATATACGTTTGAGATAATTGAACTGCATACTAAGGGTTGTTAAAATGTCATGTTAATTCAATGTTAATTCCAATGTCTATGCGTACGATCTCGCCTTGTGATGTATGGTCCTATGGAAAACCCTTCGGGGGCGATTGTATGATAAAAATTTGTCCACTACGATATTTACAATATTAACCAGCGAAATCGTGGTATTTAAAGGACAGAATATTCTGATCGCCTTTTTATTGGATTCTGTCTGACAAATGAGAAGTGTTCTACGAAAATTAATTTAATTTCTTTTAATCTTTGATTCTTTCTCTAGACACAAGTCTACAACAGCATAATCAGTTTCTTAATTCTGGCACACGTATCTCTAATTGGTGTTTTTTTTTTATTTTGGTACTGAAGCATAAAAGAAATTGACACGTGTAGTTTTCCTGGCAGTGCTCATAATGGTGCCCTCATCAGGCCCGTAGCCAGAAGGGGTCTGGGGGGTTCAAAAGAACCGCCCTTTTTGCTGGGAAAAGGTCCACTTTGGATCAAATTTGATCTAGGTACATGAAGATTTTATGGTAAAGGGACCACTGTTTCAGAAAACGAACCCCCCAATTTAAATTGCTGGCTACAGGCCTGCTCACTGGCGAATGTAATCATAAACAAAAGTGAAACAGGAAACTACCGGTATCACTGCTAGTACTGTTTGTTTACACATATTCAGTAGGATATTCAGTATTTTAGAGCTAATACATGAATGATTTTAAGATTAATCTATTGTTTCTCATTGATACAAACAAACAAACAAACAAAAAAGCATCCACTCGTAGGGGAAAAACAGAAGTAATTCAAGTTTTTCATTTTCTCTTCTCTCTTTTCAGGTTTTTCAAAGTTATATTTAAAAGAAGTTACATGCTATGATGTCAGATTTGCAAAGTGCTCTTTTCTAAGAAGAAGAAGAAGAGGACCAGAAAGAATGAGTGCAATAACAGTTCTGTGGAAAAAACTGTCTGCTTTCATATTTTTCTTTATAAACATTGGAAAGAGACTGTTATGTTTTCTAAAAATTAGGCGACGGAAAAATTCTGGGAATCTTCTGCCTCTAGCCAATCACTATCCATCGCCACCAGATGTCACTCATGCTGTGCCAGGAAATGAGGTAAATATCTGAGCCATCCTCCACCTCCAATCCATCTCCATGGCTGCGTTCAGAATAGAAGTTATCGTATTAGCGGGATCGCTCTATCTCAGTGTGGCACTTGCTAAGGCACAGTCAATGTAATCAACTTAACTGTCTGAATCGATAACTTTTTAATATGATCACAATCTACGTCAAAAAAAGGTGTGTAAGATGGAATTTTAGGCTTGGATTGTGTGAAAGACAAAAATCAGTTTAGTCATGTACGGAGTACAACTTGTACACATTTTCTGAATGAGGATATGTATTTAGATGTCATGCTTCAGTCATTTACCAAGTGTTTGTGAATGGTGACTAATGTTAAAAATGAACAGAAGCATAAAAACATTAAAAAATGATAAAAGTCCTATGATTATTTAGAGTGCTAAAAATGATAAAAGTCCCATGATTATTTAGGATTTTTGCATCTCTGCATTAAATGATATACTTATTCAACAAATCTCTCTTGCTAATCTTGTTGATAATGTCATTTTCAATTCAATTCTATTTTTCCAGGCTGACTTGGAGATGGAGGCCTGGGACTCCTGGGGAGTAGAAAACACCAACACCAGTGCAAATAAAAACCAAACAAGTAACTATAGTAACAGTAACCATGCAGGTTACTATGGAAACCGTAACCAGCCTGAGCCAGAACCNTTTAATTTATTATATGACCGATAATTGGATGTTTGCAACATTAAAAAGTAGGCCAATAGTATATACGTTTGAGATAATTGAACTGCATACTAAGGGTTGTTAAAATGTCATGTTAATTCAATGTTAATTCCAATGTCTATGCGTACGATCTCGCCTTGTGATGTATGGTCCTATGGAAAACCCTTCGGGGGCGATTGTATGATAAAAATTTGTCCACTACGATATTTACAATATTAACCAGCGAAATCGTGGTATTTAAAGGACAGAATATTCTGATCGCCTTTTTATTGGATTCTGTCTGACAAATGAGAAGTGTTCTACGAAAATTAATTTAATTTCTTTTAATCTTTGATTCTTTCTCTAGACACAAGTCTACAACAGCATAATCAGTTTCTTAATTCTGGCACACGTATCTCTAATTGGTGTTTTTTTTTTATTTTGGTACTGAAGCATAAAAGAAATTGACACGTGTAGTTTTCCTGGCAGTGCTCATAATGGTGCCCTCATCAGGCCCGTAGCCAGAAGGGGTCTGGGGGGTTCAAAAGAACCGCCCTTTTTGCTGGGAAAAGGTCCACTTTGGATCAAATTTGATCTAGGTACATGAAGATTTTATGGTAAAGGGACCACTGTTTCAGAAAACGAACCCCCCAATTTAAATTGCTGGCTACAGGCCTGCTCACTGGCGAATGTAATCATAAACAAAAGTGAAACAGGAAACTACAGGTATCACTGCTAGTACTGTTTGTTTACACATATTCAGTAGGATATTCAGTATTTTAGAGCTAATACATGAATGATTTTAAGATTAATCTATTGTTTCTCATTGATACAAACAAACAAACAAACAAAAAAGCATCCACTCGTAGGGGAAAAACAGAAGTAATTCAAGTTTTTCATTTTCTCTTCTCTCTTTTCAGGTTTTTCAAAGTTATATTTAAAAGAAGTTACATGCTATGATGTCAGATTTGCAAAGTGCTCTTTTCTAAGAAGAAGAAGAAGAGGACCAGAAAGAATGAGTGCAATAACAGTTCTGTGGAAAAAACTGTCTGCTTTCATATTTTTCTTTATAAACATTGGAAAGAGACTGTTATGTTTTCTAAAAATTAGGCGACGGAAAAATTCTGGGAATCTTCTGCCTCTAGCCAATCACTATCCATCGCCACCAGATGTCACTCATGCTGTGCCAGGAAATGAGGTAAATATCTGAGCCATCCTCCACCTCCAATCCATCTCCATGGCTGCGTTCAGAATAGAAGTTATCGTATTAGCGGGATCGCTCTATCTCAGTGTGGCACTTGCTAAGGCACAGTCAATGTAATCAACTTAACTGTCTGAATCGATAACTTTTTAATATGATCACAATCTACGTCAAAAAAAGGTGTGTAAGATGGAATTTTAGGCTTGGATTGTGTGAAAGACAAAAATCAGTTTAGTCATGTACGGAGTACAACTTGTACACATTTTCTGAATGAGGATATGTATTTAGATGTCATGCTTCAGTCATTTACCAAGTGTTTGTGAATGGTGACTAATGTTAAAAATGAACAGAAGCATAAAAACATTAAAAAATGATAAAAGTCCTATGATTATTTAGAGTGCTAAAAATGATAAAAGTCCCATGATTATTTAGGATTTTTGCATCTCTGCATTAAATGATATACTTATTCAACAAATCTCTCTTGCTAATCTTTTATGTTGATAATGTCATTTTCAATTCAATTCTATTTTTCCAGGCTGACTTGGAGATGGAGGCCTGGGACTCCTGGGGAGTAGAAAACACCAACACCAGTGCAAATAAAAACCAAACAAGTAACTATAGTAACAGTAACCATGCAGGTTACTATGGAAACCGTAACCAGCCTGAGCCAGAACCGGAGCCAGAGCCAGACTATTTTGCTGATATGGCCCCAGAGGTCAAGAAAACTGCAAAAGTAAGTTTCTGTCTTTATTTGTGGTAAACATGAGGAAATTCAGTGAGGAAATTTAATGGGGAAGTTTATTGAGGAAGTTCAAATGAACTCAAGGGGAAGTTATATTATAATTTTCAAAGCAATTTGATACAAAATGATAAAAAGACATTAATAATTTTTATTTTGAACAAAAGAAGATGCAAATATTTACTAAAAGTTTAAGTGTTGCATGAATAATATTGTATGAATATTAGTGGATTGATCTTTTATGATTATTTAAGGATTTTAGTCACAGTACTGATACACATTGACTGAGAATTATTTTCTTGCATGGATTTTGCATTAATTTGTTAACTGCAATGCAAATAAAAAAACTAAAACTTTTTTCTAACTCAGATTTTAGTCAAGAAAAGAGAAGATTACAGTTATACAAGTGGAGGAAATATGTCCAGCAGACTTGCTATGAATTCTGTTATTCCTACACAAGTAAGAAAATTTTTTTATCATAACGATATTACTATAATTATAGAAAACAAACTAAACCTACAAGTTTGTCTAAGTTTTGTGTTTTAGGACCCCCTTAAATCTACATGTTGACTTGAATTTTTTTTCAAGAAATAAGGAAATGTGTAAAGTTCAGTTTTCATTCATTTATTTTATGTAAGCCCAGATCTAGATCTGGGCTTACATAAGGAATGGAATCTATTACCGCTGGAAATCCGAGCAATTCAGTCTACCAAACATTTTAAAAAAGAACTCAAAACATACCTTTTTAGGAAATATTTTGAACTCTTAATTGGTTTTATAAATCTTGTATTAATTGCATTTAATTGTATGGAATAATGACTGTTTTACCTAGATTTTATTTATGATATTTTATGTAGTATTATTTATGATATTTTATGTAAAGTCTACTGAACATTTTAAATGGATTTTAGACTTAAATTAAATTTATTATTATTATTAATTTATTAGATGAAAAGCAGATACGGATGAAGGAATTTATTCCATCATTTATTTAGGTGCTTATTTTATTTATTTATTTAGATGAGCCCAGATCTAGATGAATGGCAGGAAGAGGAAAGTGGCTGGGAGGGGGAGGACCTGTCATGGGAGGCCGACGCTGTCTTAAAGGAAAAACGTCGCATCGAGAGGGAAAATAGGCAGCAAGAACAGCAGCGCAAAAAGATGGAGCGTGAAGCACAGCGGTCGAGAAAAGACAGTGGTTCATTTACGGCAGTTAAACTGTCCTGATGCATAATGGTTGAGAATTGTTTCAAAACTGTGCTTTCATAAAATAAAATGGGATGGATTCAAATTTTTGTATTTCAAGACATTGCTTTCTTGAACTGAGATGGGACAGATTCTCTCCAAACTTGGTACTCTCTGGGTCTGCTCACACAAGGCCATTTTAGACCTGACTTTGGTCCAACTTGTGTCATCAGTCCAGAGGACACCTGTAAACTTCTTGCATGTCTAGACTGTTTAATATTAAGATATTAAACATCAGTTTGGTTGTCTCACTTTCCCAAGTTAGATGTGGTAACAGTTCAATAATGTTCATGTTTAAACATTCTATATACAACAAACTGACATATTTTCATCTTTAAACAGATATTATATTCTGAAGCATTTTATTGTCAGTGCATCAGTCTAAGAGATCTCACAGAATATATGGCCTTGTATCAAGCAACTGGTTTAAAGAATGTATAGCCCTGTAGTAGCACCCTGAGTAGCAGAGTTAATTGGAAATGGCAGAGGCATGCTAGTAAGGGGTCCTGTTCTCATAGACTCCCATCAGTCTAAGACCCCATTCCCACAGTAGATCGATCTATCCCTGTGGGGAGTCTCACTAGATTACTGTCAGCTTAGCCGGCATGAGCGTCTGTCCCACCTACTAAAAGCTGTAAGGGGGTAATGAACTTCTGTGCGAGCTTGGCTGACATCAATTAAGCGTGAACCCCCAGGGAGTAAAGTCGATCTAGATGGATTGATCTAAATCTATGGGAATGCACTCTATGTAGGTGGATCCAACTCTGTGGGGACTCTCATTGAATGCAGTCTGTTTAACAGATTAACAAGCTGCCTGTTGGCATAAAGTAGAATACAAAAAAAAAGCTTATGAAGTTATGATTATACTAATATGTTGACAATGAGGTATGTTATTCTGTGCAGAGTTGGATTGAACTATGTAGACTAATAGTTTCTATGGGAATGGGGTTGTAGAGATGTGTTTCTTTAAATCCCTGGAACTTGGGATGTGTAAGTGGGGGTAGGGATGGTAGTTAAATGGTTTTAGTACAAGTATGGCTTAAAGCTCTTCGGTGTGAAAACATTCTTTATGGTATTCACTGCAAATTAGGTGGACTATTTATTTATTTATGGGTTTTTTGTTTTATTATTTTTTTTTATTAGAGGATCTAGAAGGATGAGGAATAAAAGTGTTTGAGAAATGTTTATCTTTGGCACTGTGCACCTGCACAGCTGATGCAATTTATTTTCAGTGTAATATAGGCTATTGCTTTTACGATATTGTTCTGAGCTGTATTTTTTTCCTTATTTCACCCTTGGTGCAGGAGCTTCTGTACATTATCCTTGTTAATGTGTTTTATTATGAAGATCAGAATTTATATTATGGTTATATGAGGAGGTTATATAATAAAGTTTAAGAAGACAAAGTTGAGACTGTTCTACTTTTTTGGTCAGAAAACGGGTCTTGCGATAGGTCTATGCAGAAGATCCTACACTTTTTTTTTTTTTTTTTTTTTTTT